AATGTGTAATACATGACACATATAAATATAAGATATAAGTTTCCTCTTTATATATATATATATATATATATATATATATATTATTTTATTTTTTTATTTTTGGTTCGTCTTTGGAGTGTCCAGGGCCGATGCAGTGACTAATTAGGGAGGCACCTCAAAGAGTGGGATAGCTGGCCCCAAGATTTAACGCGGCTGCATACATAAGGCAGGATTTGAACCCTGACCTTGCTTAAGCGTGGATCAACCCATACCTCTGAACTACATACTTGGGACTTAGTTTTATATAATATATACATATATACATAACCTTTTTAATGAAAAATTGAAGCCATTCCACAATCTAGGAAGGAACTTACCAAGTAATTTGATAGAAATTAACATGATTTTCCATCGTCCAATACTACGTATATATGACGTAAGTTGTGAAAACTAACCCAAATAAAATTGATGATGCATGTGTGTGAAGCAAGGTCATAGTTGATATATGGTAAACTATACAATTTGGTGACAAAGTAGACTAGGTCGTACCGTGTGCTTTTGCATCCTCTTTGGTTATAAAAAAAAATCACTTATTTTTTCATTCTTATTTTTGTGGAAATATCATTAACCAACGTATCCTTACAGCCAGATACAAACATTTTTTCTAATTAATTTTTATATATAATTTAAGTATTTATTTTATTTTATTTTTATAATAAAATAAACATGTTTAAGTGTTATTTATTTTTTATTTGATAAAATATTTTTTTGTAGTCTTTGTTACGGAGATTATAGTTTTTTCTCTTATGAAAAAATATTTAAATAGAATTTTTTTAATTTTTTTTAAATAGTCTTTTTATTTTTTATTTTTATTATTTTAATGTTAAAAGTTATATGTTGTGTAAAAATCTGAATACACTTGAACGAGATAAATAAAATGATTTGTGTATGTGTAACATATCAACAAGATTGTGCAGTTGATGAAAATTTAAAGAAATTAATTTGTATTATTTATATCAACAAGATATATCTGCATTTTAATAATTCATTACTTAAAAACTTTATAGTTATACGTATTTGAAAAGGAACAATTTAGGAATAAAATTATTTTTATCACATATTTAACCTATAAAATATAGTTAATAAAAATATCATTTTTTTATTATAAGTTTATGAAGCTTTGTAATAACATGTGAAAATAATGATTAAATATTTGTAATATGGAGTCTTTAATTAAAAAATATATTTAATTTATTTTCATGAAATAATATTTTCTGCTATATATTATTGAACTAATTAACAAAACACACAATTACAATATTTTGCTACTTTAATGTTTATGTATAACTTAGATAAATTCTTATTTTTAAATTTGTCACCGTCACTCACAGCCATGGGAGTTGTTTTGCGTTAATGGAGGCAAGTGCTTTATCTTTGACAAGTCTTTTTTCGTGGACAATTCAGTTCAGATAGATTCTCCTATTGTATATCTGAAGTCAAAATTTGAATGATGTAAATTAGAAGGATATTTCATTACCTTTTGCTTGTATTTTTCTATTTATTTTAAACAGGGGTTATAATTACACTGATGTAACTTTTACCAAATATTATACCGCTTAATAACTTTATATTAAATGTAAATTTTGTAAATATAATCTAAGAGTAAAAAAATTTTAATCTAATGGTTGGATTTACAAAATTTACATTTAATATAGAGTTATTGAGCGGTGTAATACTTAGTAAAAGTTATACTGTTAGTATTATAATCATCTTCTTATTTGAAAAGTACGTTTTAATTTAAAAATATCTTAAAAATTATATTATTTAATCATATTAATTTTTATTTTCCCAATTGAAATAAACACCTAAAGCTATTTGCAAAAAATATTCTAAAGCTAAATAATAAAAGTTACATCTGAAAAAAAAAAATTGATTCAAACAGATGAAATGAGGTAGTGCCGTGTGCTTATTCTCTCTGGGTTGTCGAAATCACTTAATTTTCGTGGAAATATCATTTGCCAGCGTATCACAGTTCATAGGACTTTGTTTTGTGTTAATGGAAGTAGTTATATCTTTGACTGTTTGAATGTGTTAAACTTTTTAATACGAGAGGGAAATTAAATAGTTTTTTCTCTAGGACCTTTCGTTGACAATTCAGCTACAGATGCCATTAATATTTATGAATTCATATTTTTTTTGTATGATACACGGCAAGATATTTCATTACATTTTGTTTGTATTTCACTTTACTTATTTACAAAGTGTTTTATTTTAAAAAAAAAATTATCTAAGAACTTTTAAATAAATAGATAATTAAAAATAATATTGTGTCTCATTATAAATTATTTTTCATAAATATAAACTGTAACTAATTAAAGATTAAATACAAGAAGAGAATTTTTTTTTTGAAAGATTAACATAAATAATTTTTTTACTAAAAAAAAATCGAAGTCTATTTTGGAACCCCTAGTATTAATGTGGTCGGAGCAATTGCTCTTGTCTCCAAGACTCAGGCCTGACTTGAGTAATGTACATGTCAAAGAAAGGATTCAAAGACATTCTTATCAACCAGCAAGGTCGTGTAAGTCCAAGGTCAATAAAGCATTTGCCTTAAGTCTCCAATAAAATACTTATATTCACATCTTATTTATAATTTTAATAAATTATTTGGTAATATTATGTTATCATGATATAATGTTATTTACCATTATTATTATTAAAATTTATAATCATAAAATATGAATATAAATATTTTTGTAAATTATTTAAATGCAATCTTATTATTTATGTACAAAATTAAGAAAAATATTTTACATCTATTTTGAATTCTACCTCTTTCCATCCAAAAAAAAGTCATTGAAATTAGTATAAATTTATTGAATACATTCATTATTAAAAAAAAGAAAAAAAGAGGATTTTTTGGTAAAAAATTTAATAATAAAAACTAAAAAAATAAAAAGGTGTATTAAATTAAAATTTTAAATATAAACTTTATTTTAGGCCTTATAATTTCTAGATGGTCCTCAAAGACAGAGACATTCCATGCATATATATATATACTTATATATATATATATATATAATTAAAATAATAAAAAAATAGAAATTAATTCAAAGATCGGTTATATGGGATAATTAATTAAAATGGTTAAAATACCTATTAGTTTTTTTTGAATGAGTTTGTTATACGGAAATGAATTCCAAAAAAAAAAAAATTAACTTTATATGCTTGGACGACTAACATAAATGAATATATTGTGTGATTATTTAATGTCGAATAAACATATTTTGCGATTAACAATTAAAAAGAAACAAGAATGTAAGAACATTATTTGATGTCAATAATTTTGGGATAACTAACATAATTAAGAACTTCCACTAAAATAAAACCCAAATATAAGATTATTTTATGTTATTTTTGGATTAACAAATACTTATTGAAGGGGAATTGTTGACAAATTAGTAAATAATTTTTTTACCAAAAAATAATTGAAATAAAGATTTGTTAATAATATTTAATGATAGTTTTTTTTAATTTTTTTTTACTTTTAATTTTTCAGTTATTATTGATATATAGAACAATAGTTACCAAAATTAATGTTAAAATTGACTCAACCTTTTTAATTTTTTAAATATTTGAAAACTGAAGAATAATTCTCTTAACAACCTTAACAAATTAAGTAGATATGTCCATAATAATATATATATATATATAAAGAGAGAGTTATTGGATAATAGTCAATGTAACTTGTAAAGTTGACCAAGAGACTTTAACCTAAGTATGAAAATCCCCCATATGTACATATGTGTTCGTTGGACTTTTTCTATAAATAAAAAAAAAAATTATTTTACCATTTTGGTACTTCTCTTTAATTATCATTTTGCCATCTACACTAAGATGGTATATCTAATATTTTACATATTTGATTGGAAGTAAAGATGTAGAAAGGAGAAAAAAAAAAGAGAGAGTTATTTTTGTTGAGTAAAAATAAAGGTAAAACAACATTTATTACAATTAATGGAAATTCTTGTTATGTTCGCTGG